AAACCCAGGGGTGCTGAATTCCCTTGAGTTTAGATCCTGGCGCTTTGGAGGTCAGCTGACCCAGCACTGGGTGATCCAGAAGGATGAGTGATAGCCAGGTCCCTGCCTGTGTAGAGAGGCAACATAAACATGGCATTTTACACAATGCCCAGGCCACAGGAGACACATGTATTCATGCTGATTCTTGATTTTTGACTCAGCTGGCCTGGCTGGGTCCCACTGACACCACTGAGAGCAAGCACAGCCCACAACAGGCACGCAATCAGTGCAGACCCCTGCACTGAAAGGAAAAGTAACCCAGACACAACAGCAGAGAGTGAGCAACACCCATATGATATCCTCCTGAAGGTCCAGGTCCTATAAATGGAGACGTGCACTGCTGAGGACTCCAGGACCTCTTCTTCATAACGGCATTAATTTCAAGATCAGAAGGCACAGCTGACTTTCTTAACACAGAGAAATAGAGACAGGGAGACAAACAAAATGGACACACAGAGACGTTTATCTACAATGAAAGACCTAGTCAAAGCCACAGCCAGAGATCTAAGCCAAAGAGATACAAATAACATACCTGATACAGAATTTAAAGCAATGATCATAAGGATACTCATTGGAGTTGCGAAATGAGTAGAAGAGTGAGACCCCTGACAGAGATAAGATATAACACAGACACTGAGGACACAATAAAGGAAAAACATGCTTGCTGGAATGAACAGAGTGATGGAAGAAGCAGTGGAACAAACTAGTGACCTCGAAGACTGAGTGATGGAAATTAATCACACTAAACCAAAGAGAGAGAACAGAATTCTGCAACATGAGATGAGACTAAAGGAACTCAGTGACTACAGGAAAGATAATAGTATTCATATTGTAGGGGTCCCAGAAGGAAGAGAGAATGAGGCAGATAATTTATTTGAGGAAATAATAGCTGAAAACGTCCCTAATTGGGGGAGGGAAACAAACATCCACATCCGGGAGACTAGAGAACTCCCATCAAAATCAACAAAATCAGGCCAACACACAAACCTATTGTAAACAAATTTACAAATTAGGGTGAGAATAAAGAAAAACTCGTAAAAGCAGCAAAACAGTCCTTAACTTACAAGGGAAGACCCATGAGGCTAGCTATATATTTCTGAACAGAAACTTGGCAAGCCAGAAGTGAGTGACATCACATATTCAAAGTGCTGAATGGAAAAATCAGCGGCCAAGAATACTCTATTCAGCAAGGCTATCTTTCAGGATGAAGGAGACACAGACTTTCCCAAACAAAACCTAAAGGAGTTTGTACCACTAAACCAGTCCTGCAAGAAATATTAAGAGGGATTCTTTGAGTGGAAAGGAGAGACCAACAGTGACAGTATAGAGGTAGAAGACACAATTCAAGTAAAAGATCAACATTTCTGGAAAAAATCAGTTAAAGAACTCAGAGAAATGGATTTGAAATATAATAACATCTACCAAAAACCTAGGGAGGAGAAAGTAATGGGTTAAAAGGTAAATGACCATCAACTTAATACAGACTGCTAAATGCAGAAGAGGTTATATAAACACCTAACAGTAGCCATATACTAAAACCAGTCATAAATATGCTAAGAATAGAGATAAATCAAAATATACCAGTAAAGAAAATAAGCAATACGTGAAAGAAAGGCAAGAAAGGATCAGAGAAAATCATTAGAAACCACAACAAAACAGGCAATAAAATGGCAATACATATATACATATCAATCAATTTTGAGGGAAATGGAGTGAATACTCCAATCTAGAGATGTAGGGAGTAAGAATGGATGAAAAAACAAAACAGATTCAGATGCATACAAGTGACCCACTTTACACCTCAAGAATGATAGTGAGGATAGAGAAACATCACACAAATTAATGTCAAAAGAAAGCTGGAGTAACAATACTTGTATCAGAAAAAATACACTTAAAAAAAGCACATAACAAGAGACAGAGGAGGACAGTATATAACAGTAAATGGTACAATCCAAAAAGAAGATATAACAACTGTAAATATATCCCACAATTAAGTGGGATTTATTCCCAAGCTACAAAAGTGGTTCAATATTCGCAAATCAATTAATGTGATACAATACATAAACAGGAGAAAGGATAAGAACCAGATGATCGGGGCATCTGGGTGGCTCATCCTTTAACAGTCTGACATCAGCTGAGGTCATGACTTCATGATTCCTGAGTTCAAGTCCCGCGTCAGACTCTGTGTTGAAAGCTCAGATCCAAGAGCCTCCTTCGAATTCTATGTCTCCCTCTCTCTCTGCCCCTCCCCTGCTCACGCTCTCTCTCAAAATTAATAAACGTTAAAAGAAAAGAAGTATACTGTCATTTCAATACATGCAGAAAGGAACATTTGACAAAGTACAACATCCGTTCATGCATGTAGCCCCCTAAAGTAGGTTTACAGGAAACATACATTAACATAATAAAGGTTATCTATGAAAACCCTGCAGTTATAATCAACCTTAATGGGGAAAAATCAGAGCTTTTCCTGTAAGTTCATGAAGAAGACAAGGATGTTTACTCTTACCACTTTTAGTAAACAAATTACTGGAAGTCCTAGCCACAGCCAGCAGACAAACGAAACAAAACGATTTGCAGATTACACGACACTATATATAGAAAACCCTAAAGAGTCCACCCAATAACTGCTAGAACTGATAAATGAATTCAGCAATGTCACAGGATACAACATCATTGTACAGAAATCTGTTGCATTTCTAGACAATACAGAAGCAGTAGAAAGAGACATTAAGAAAACAGTCCCATTTACAGTCGTACACCAAAAATAAGCTATCTATGAATAAATCTAACC